GGTGCTGATTCTGTGGCCTGAGCCTCGGTGCCTGGGTTTGGCTGACAGGAGGGATTTTCATCTCCATGAAGAGCTGTTCCGCTTGGGATAGGTGTTTCCAGCTGACGCCTTATCAGTGTAGCCTGCGGCCTTGCAAAATGCTCCATGTGCACATCTGAAATTTAAAACCACGCCTAAATCCTCTGTCTATGACTGTACTATTTCCATAGCTCAGTTTGGTTTTACTGCGATCCTCTTCCCACTTCAAAATTTCCTTTTCCCTTCAGGTTTCAGTGCTTCAAGTCTAACCCACGGTAAATGTTTGCATTGCTAACTTTGTGGAGATTCTGTATCAGTTGTTTTGTGTATGTTTGTTTTAACCTCAATGGTTTTGCCTTTGTTTTAACCTTTTTCAAGTAAACAAGGAAGACATTTGTTATTGGAAGAAATGGCTCTAGGTAGCAGCTGCTTTGAGCTGTTTATTATTTATGGTGTAAAAGCCTTGCTTCCTTGCCACAAGGAAAACACTTTTGTTAGTTATACTTTTTTTACACACTTGTCTTCTCACTGGGCTGGCTTGTGACTTTAATTAGTTTTCCCTTTTTTTGGCATTATTAAGAACAAGGTTTTTTTCTCTCCTTCAATCCTGGCCACTTTTCATGTTTCCACATAGGATTTAAATTGTGCTTTGATTCATTAGCAAAATGACACTGAAATTGAAGGACATTTTGAACAAAGAACTTTGTTCTGGTTTTGTGGAATATCCTTTCCTATAGACCTCTGCTTTTCCAGCTCCTTCCTGTGCTCCCAGCTCCTGCAGATAGCAATATGCTACTCATGTGCCTCTTAAATCTCTAATATTTTCCAGGTGAGAAGAAAAGTGAAGGAAATTGCAGGTCTCTTAGAGGGAGCTGAGAGAGAAGAGCGTGTGTTGGCAGAGCCAAACAGGACTGGGGGGCTGCAGAAAACAGGGTCAAAGAGATGGAAAGAAGTTTCTCCTTTCCTATTCCCTGTGCAAATGCGCTCAAGCTGCTGAGTAAATGGGGTACTGATAAATTCTTTTGAGTTGCTAAAGGCTTTTTGCAGTTCAGTTCCTGAGGCTCACAGTTCAAGCTTTTTCATGCACCCCAATGCAAATGTCCAAATCAAACTTGCAGCTTTCTTACCCTTATTTATCAACTTACAGTTTCCTTGAACAATAATTCAATTAGCAGAAGTGCATGTATCCCTTTAGATGCTTAAAAAACAAAGCAGCCAGCTTATCTTCAAACAAAAAATGGGTTAATTTACCCAGAATAATCATAATTAAAAAAAAAAAAACCTTCAGATTCTGTAAGTCCACAGTAGAAAAGAAACCTTTTATTTTTTCAGTTTCACAGATTTGTTATCACAGATGTTCTTAACCTAAATATATGGATATGCAAAAACAAATACTGTTTAAAATATGTATAAACTTCCTTTATTTATGTCTGACACCGATTTTATTCTGACTCCAGGTTTCAAGCAGCTGGAAATGCTAACTGCAGGGCTCAGTGTGCTCCCCTGCTGCTCCCCATGCCTTCCTTGGCAGCAGGAGAGCTCAGCCTGGTTTTTGGGGGTGCATCTAGCATTTTGTGAAGAGAGCTGACAATTGTATTTAGAAAGATTTCCCAGCAGTGAATGTGACACTGAGTTTAGCTTGGTTCAATGTGCCGTTCATAGAGGGACCACCAGCCCAGGGCTGTGAAGGTGGGGAGTCACCAAAGGCAGAAATGGGCAGTGCCAAATCCACTTTTCCCTGTGTCCGTGCGTGCTGGGAATATCAAGGTGTGGCCTGGGCAGGCTGTGAGCTCACAGACACTGGCAGGAATCCACAGGGCAGCTCTGCAGCCACTCCAGGCTGCCCTTCCTCCCTGCCCATGTGTGCCCTGCTGTCATTCCCTGGGCAATGCTCTCCTGGAAAGATGGCATGGTGCTTTGGAGCTGCTGCAATGGGAGCTGCAGTGGCTGAAGGGAATATTCCAAATGTCGCCATTTATCAGCATCATGGGCTGACTTTGGTTTGAGCACTTCTTCTTTTTTGTGCCCAACAGAGAAAACAGGTCCTGCCTCTTCTCCTCCAGCTGGCAGATAGATGGCTGTAGGTAGGGTTTTAGTGAGGAGGTTGTCTTTGGGATACAGAGAGGCATATCCAGCTAAAGGCCTGTCCCAGCCCGAGGGACTGTTTATTGACATTGACTGGACTTTTTCTACAGGCAGCCTGTTAGAGATTCAATTTTAAAATGGTTTAAGGTAGGTGAAATTAATTCCACAGTGGTTATTCAGGTAATCAGCCTTGGGACTTAGCCAGAGGTACAAATACAGATTCCAGCAGGAGTTTTCCTTCAATTTTGTTTGCAGATAAGGACCATCCATCCATAGATCCTATGGGAAGATGAACAAATGAGAAAAATAATAGCAGAATCTGATTAGTTTATGCTGAGATTTCAGTGCAGAAGGAAGGGAAGACACAAGGCTCTCTCCAGATCAGATGTTACTGAACTCATTTGTTAACGTGCGTCCTTGAATGGAATTAATGAAACCTTTCATTATAGATCAATATGCTCTTTGACTAGAGAATATTATGGGTACCTATTGTATATGCTTAATTAGATTGAAATTGCTTTCACATTTCCTTTATATTCAAAAAAATCTGATCTCAGCAGTTTAAAAAAGGGAATTACAGAAGTCATCCCCTCTGCCATGTGCTGGAATCAGCAAGAGAAGGAGAAAAAGGAAAAGCTCCTCTGCCAGCTCTCAGGTCTCAGCTTGGTGTCAATTATGGCAGAGCTCACTTGTGCTGCCATGTACCCATGACAAAACCAAATGGTAATTCTTTCACCATCACGAGGAGATTGACTGGTGTCCATTGAAGGCAACATATTTGGACTGGGTCTATAAAATCAATTTTGGGACATACTTGTATTTTTTGTCCAAAATCTATTTCTTGACAAAACTGTTGTTAAATTAATGTGCACCACCCTCCTTCCTCATCCACATCTCCCTAAAGACGTTCTCAAACAATCCTTTGCATCTTTCATTTCTTGATGGCCTTTATTGCTCCTTGAATTCTCTCTCAAAACCCAGTGTTAGAACATGTTATCTTAGTCCCATAGCCCTATTCCTACAAAAATAAAGCCCTTAGACCTTCAGTACTAATCACTCTGCTGTGCTGTTACCTCATGCTTTCAGCTCAGTCCCTGGGGTGTTTCTGTGTTTGCTCAGGGCTGTCCCAACCAGGGCCCTTGCTTGTCACCCCCTTCAGCTGCCCAGGTCCCCAGGCATGGCCCTGGGGCTGTGTCTGTGCTCCAGCTCCATCCTCCCCGCTCATGCACACCCAAACCTGTCTCTGGGCCCTTCTGAGCTCAAATGGCAGCTCTCAACCACACTCTGAAGCAGTTTGTGTCCTTAATTCTCCAATCCCTGCTCTGCAGCCAGAAGGCTCCTGCTGTTTGCCCCAGGCTGCCATGGGCCGGGTTGGGGTTACTGTGCCTGGAGAAAAGGAGGCTCCCTCTCCTTAGAGCTCTCCACAATTCCCTGACAGGAGGTCGTGGCCTCCGAGTAACAAGGAACAGGACAAGGGAAAATGGCCTCAGGCTGCACCAAGGGAGGTTTAGATTGGCTATTAGAGAAAATGTCTTCACTGAAAGGTTTGTCCAGGGAAGCGGTGACTCAAGACTCAAAGACTTGCAGATGTGGCACTTGGGGACAGGCTTTAGTGGCAGATTTGGTAGTGCTGGGAGAGCAGTTGGACTTGATGATCTTGCAGGGCTTTTCCAACCTAAACAATTTTATGACTTAGTGTTCCACTGTGCTATGTTCAGTATCCCTCAGCCTCCTAAGGATGCATTGTTTATCAGCTTTCCTCCTTCCAGATTCTTTGTTTGTGCAGTGGCAGCTTTTGTGCCAATTTTTTTTCCCCCTTTTGCCTGGAGTTATTGGCAGATCTAATCAGCCACAAAATATAAAAGCCTTGTTCTCCATGGGCGGGCAGTGCTGTCCCAGAGCAGAACCAGTGCTGCCTTGGGGAACGAGCACAGGGATGGGCTGCCTGAGGATGGGCAGGATGTCTTCACAGAGAAGTCCCAGGTTTCTTCCAGCAGTGAATGCAGCTCTTATTCTGGAGGAGCCACGTGTTGCATCCTTCCCTGCTCCACAGCCACACGGATGGCACCGGCTGTGCTCGCAGGCTGGCACGGGTGGGGCACGCTGGATGCTGGTGGATCAGAGGGGGTTTGCAGGCTCACCTGTGCCTGTGTGGGTGTGAGGGGAGGGCTGTGAGCTGCCTCTGGGTGGGGATGGGTGCCCGGGCTCGGGGTGCTGCTCCCTGCGAGCTCAGCCACACCTGGGAACCACTGCAGGTGAGGGGACAGGGAGTGGGAGATGGGGCAGGCCTGGTTGGGAAGGAAAGGGTCCCCCCCTCCAGATCCAGGCCTGGCCTCAGCCTCTGGCTGAGCTGTAAGAGACCAAGATTTTTCCACATGCAGAAATGCTTGAGGAACTTCCTTTTTTTTTGTCTTTTTTTTTTTTTTTTTTTTTTTTGTCTTTTTTTATTCCTGGACAAATGTCTTCTCCTGACAGGAAACATGACTGGATTGAGTATAAAATGCTGGCGCTGTCGCTGCCCAGCCGAGCCCCGTGTCCCCACGCACGGAGCTCCCGGGGGGTGCCCTGGGCAGGCTCGCCCTGCAGAGAGGGGACAGCGAGGGGACAGCGGGCCCGGGCAGCAGCCGCGGCATGGGCGGGGGTCCCCGGGCCCCGCAGCCGTGCCCGTGGGTGCCTGCGTGACCGAGAGGGTGCGGAGCGACCCGTGGGGAGGGCACAGCCCCGGGGGCAGGGACGGGCTGCCCTGGGCCCCTGCCCCGCTGCTCGGGCCTGCAGCCCCCGCCAGGCCCCGGGGCAGCAGCGGAGCGGGGCCTGAGGGAGGGCAGGGCCGGGGGCTGCGCTCCCCCGGGGCTGGGGGAAGGGACAGGAAAATCGAGACGAAGCAACAGCCTCCAGCTTTTCCCTTCCTCTAATCTTGCTTCACTCCCCTTGCTCCCTCTCCCTCCCTCTCCCCTTTCCCCTCCCTCCCTCTTTCTAATTCCTGCCGCTAGCTCGGAGCCTCATTCAGCAGCCGCTGCCGCTGGAGTGTAATAGGCTGAAGATGCTGCCGAGCCCGCTCCGCTGCCACTTGTGAATGGGACTTGCCGGGTGTCCCCGCTCCGCAGGCGGCCGAGGGACGCGGCCAGCCCCGCAGGTGAGCGGGGAGCGCCGGGGGCACGGCGGGAGCGGGGCAGCCCGGCCGGGGAGGGCACGGCGCCGGGGAGGGCAGGGAAGCGGCGGGGCTGAGCGTGTGGGCAGCGCGGGAAGGAACGGAACGGAACGGGGGATGCTCCGGGCCCCCCGAAGTTGGCGGCGCCGGGCAGGCTCGAGGCGAGCGGGGCCGGGCGCGGTGCGGGCGCTGCGGCGGCCGCGGGGCCCCGGGGCGCGCTCGGCTCTCCGGAGGGAGAAGGAAAACGCTCTGGCAGACGCTGCTTTATTTCTTTTTCTTTTTTTTTTTTTTTTTTTTTTTTTCCCCCTGCCTTCAGTTCTTGCTCGGGGGCGGGGAGGGGGATGGCGAGCGTTTGGATGTTTTAAAATGTTCCTCCGGGGAAGCAGATGCCGAAAGCCCCGAACTGAAAATTTTTTACTTGCGCCGTAGCTCCCAGGCACGAAATGGATATGCAGGAATTAGGAGTGCATAAAATGAAGGATATTCTAGCCAGAATGAAAAAGGCAAAGACTTTGATTTATACCCTTTCTCTCCTCCCCCCCTCCCCCTTATTTATTTATTTATTTAATTATTTTGCTGGCTTTCAAATGCATTACTATTCACAAGGTACCAAAATGGTATCTGTCTCTAACACGGGCTAGTCCAAAAAGCATTAGACTCCTGGGTGATGCATGCATAAGCACATCCCCAAGGAAGGTAAAATAGATCAGGCTGCGGGTCCCCATAAATACCATTAAGTTCAGAATAAAAGTGCTTCCTGTGCAGCCCTTCGGGAGCACATATAGCAGTCTGACATCATGATACAAGTGCCTTCACCTCCTATAGAAGTCCCCCTTTATTGTCTACTTTTTAAATATTCATTTGGTGAGGAGAGAACCAGTATATGCTGGGAGAGCTTCTTTGTACCGCTGCTACAAAGGACAGAGTGGCTGTGTAACACAGTATTTACCTACCCAGATATCTGTGACAAAGAAACCTCTTTAGCAAATGAGGTCAGTAATTCAGAAATTGGCCCTTTATGAGGAGAATGCTCACTTCTTTTTCACGTTCCAATTACTAGCAAGTCTCTAGGAAAGACTTTCTTCCTGTTGATTTGTGCTGGTGATACGATAAGGTTTTCACAGACTCCGTGCCTCTCTATTAAGAAATTCAATGTTTTGAATTATTTACTAATGGAACTGTTGAACGAGAGCGGCAGTGCGGGCTCAGGGGCAGGGAAACACGCACTCAGGCGCTGCTGCATGTCCCTCTCCTTCCCCCCTTGCTCTGCCGTCTGCCTCGCTGCTTCCAAAGTCTGTGTGATTCTCCAGGTAAATACTTTATTCTCCTTTTCCACGCTGGCTAAGGAATCCCAATGAATAAATTGCCATTCAGTGTAGAATTCCTGCAATAATTAACGTGACGTGAGCCTCAGCCAGGTCTGTCCGCGAGGTTTGGAACACAAATCGATGCTCGTGCTCGGTCCTTGGGCTGGCTTTATATGCAGAGGTGTGAGCCCATAGCAGGGGATCTGCAGATGTTTGTGATCCCTGGCAGGGCTGCACGGTTCCTGTGGCAGGGAGAGCAGGGGAAATGGGGAGCAGCAGGTCTGAGCTTCGTGCTCAATACACCAGGCGTTCTTGGAGCACGTTTCTGAGTCTAGAAAAGTCTGTGCTCTAGAAAACACAAGTTCCTGGCTGCAGTTCAAAAGCAGTTCTCCTGCCTCTTGCAGAAGAACAAAATAAAGTTACAGGACTAAGAACAAGGTATTCAGTAAAAGAATTGGAAATCCTTTAGGAAAATTTTACCTAAAGGACATCTTTCTTTGGCACGCTCTTGTTCTTAGGCCCTGAAATAGGATTTTTTTTTTTTTTCACCTCAGCTTTGCGCATCAGAGAATGAGCACGGACAGACAATGCTATTTATAGGTTTCTCCACATCAGCTTTAACTTTACTACAATTGTAAGTGTTGCCTGTCCAAAGAAATCAGTAGGAGCTAGATTACTTCATTAGCAGAAATGCTGCTACAATAGGGCACGCTAGGGGATAAGTCATTGCAATTTATCAGCAGCAGTTTCAGAGGAAAATATGTATAGAAATGGGTGATTGAGAGATAGGGCAGCTAAATTAATTTTTCTTCTGCATAAAATATGGGGAAACTGTGAAGATTGGGGTGATTTCTGTGATTTATCTGATAAAATGATTTAAAGTGTATAATGTGATTTCAGCTTCAATTAATATGCTATTCTGACAACATCTGACATATTTAATTTAGTGTAAGAAACATATGTGAAGTTCAGAGTTACAGTAGACTGAGACTAGCATTCTTATTTTCTGCAACTGCTCTAGCATAACAGCATAACTTGACAAACAAATCTTTGAGAATTCCACAACAGAAGCTATTTGTAGCTCAGACATCATAGAAATTTCAAATAATCTCACACCTTAAATTGCCATATCTTCTTTTTGGTGAACCTCCTAACTGAATTTTGAAGCCATTTTGTGAGCTGGCTGTTTAGCAAAGTATCTTCAGTGTGTGAGAAGCAGAGGTCTCATCTGGAATCAATTAATTTGAAACAGCTTAGCAACATACTTCCTGGACTTTGTGTGTGCGTCTGAGTTTTTCTACCAGCATTTTAAGCTAAAATCTCTGTACAGTTTCCTATGCCATAACCATTTTATTGTTTTTAATAGCACTTCAGCTTTCACTGTTTCTTTGTTGGGGCCAATCCAAGGCTTGGGGACAGAAATGACATGGTGGCCATTGATTTAAATGGAGATTGGGTCGGGGGCTTTGTCTGGGTGAACTAAGAGGACTTTATGGTCATTTTATGCCGTCTGTATCTCTGCACATCAGATGCGTTATCTCTTACCGGTCGAGGAGCGCTGTACCCCTCTGCTTTGATTCATGCTGGACACGGAGTGAAACCCTTTTACAGTATTTTAGGAGCAAATGTAGCGGCCGCTGTGTGTGGGGTTTTGGCGCTGAGGGCTCGCACCGTGCGGCAGGCGGGAGCGATCCCCGCGCGGGGAGGGCGCGCTGCGGCGGGCGGGCGCCAGGGGGCGCTGCTGCGCCTCCCGAGCGGCTCCGCGCCGCCATGGAGCCGGCGCTGTGCCCGGTGCTGTGCCCGCACCGGGATGGACCGTCCGTGTGTGCCCGGTGCTGTGCCCGCACCGGGGTGGACCGTCCGTGTGTGCCCGGTGCTGTGCCCGCACCGGGGTGGACCGTCCGTGTGTGCCCGGTGCTGTGCCCGGTGCTGTGCCCGCACCGGGATGGACCGTCCGTGTGTGCCCGGTGCTGTGCCCGCACCGGGGTGGACCGTCCGTGTGTGCCCGGTGCTGTGCCCGCACCGGGGTGGACCGTCCGTGTGTGCCCGGGGTGCTGTGCCCGCACCGGGGTGGACCGTCCGTGTGTGCCCGGTGCTGTGCCCGCACCGGAATGGACCGTCCGTGTGTGCCCGGTGTTCCGGTGCTGCTCCCGCACCGGGATGGACCCTCCGTATGTGCCCGGTTCTGTGCCCGCACCGGAATGGACCCTCCGTGTGCCCGGTGCTGTGCCCGGTGCTGTGCCCGCACCGCGATGGACCCTCCGTGTGCCCGGTGCTGTGCCCGGTTCTGTTCCCGGTGCTGTTCCCGAATCGGGATGGGACCCTCCGTGTGCCCGGTGCTGTTCCGGTTCTGCGCCCGCACCGGGATGGACCCTCTGTCTGCCCGGTGCTGTGCCCAGTGCTGTTCCGGTTCTGTTCCCGCACTGGGATGGACCCTCCGTGTGCCCGGTTCTGTTCCCGCACCGCGATAGACCCTCCGTGTATTCCCGGTTCTGTTCCGTTTCTGTTCCCGGTTCTGTTCCCGCACCGGGATGGACCCTCCGCGTGTGCCCGGTTCTATTCCCGCACCGGGATGGACCCTCCGTGTGTTCCCGGTTCTGTTCCCGCACCGGGAATATCCCGCGGGATGCGACGCCGGACCCTCCGCGTGTGCCCGGAGCTGTTCCCGGTTCTGTTCCCGGCTGTTCCCGCACCGGGAGCGTCCCGCGGGATGCGGGGATGGACGCTCCGTGTGTTCCCGGTTCTGTTCCCGCACCGGGAGCGTCCCGCGGGATCCCGCCCGCGCTCCCGGGGTTTCGCAGCTCTCCAGCCCTGACCGTCTCAGCCGCGGCCGCGCGGCCCCGTCCCGGCTCTGGCGGAGGCGTTTTGGGATGCTGGAGGTGCGGCCCGTCTGCAGACAGGCTGACTCCACAGCTGGAGGCTGGGCGTGGAATAAGAGCGCGGGCCCCTCTCGGGAGGGTTTCTGCTCGCTCTCTCGTCCCTTTGCAAAGGCTGGGTCGGTTCGTACCGTGCCAAGAGTTCGAAGTTGGAAAACAATGATACAGCAAAACGAGATGTATTTCTTTCAGAGATGTTATCGGGTTTGAGAGATCTTATGAAGAAATCCTTGATAGGAGGAAAAAAAATTATATAAAAAAGACATATTAAGCCAAATTGGACTAGTTTTATCAGTTCATATCCAGGTCAGTGGAGCTTACAGCTGAAGGACTGAGGAAAGCAAATTGGTCCAAATCACTTCCATATATCCTGCAGCACCCTGGAATACAAAAGATGTTGTTACTACCCACAGAATCACAGAATGGTTTGGGTTGGAAGGGACATTAAAGCTCATTTCCTTCTACCCCCTGCCATAGGCAGGCACACCTTCCACTGTCCCAGGCTGCTCCAAACTCCATCCATGCTGGATGCTAACCAGCAGGGACATATATGATCATATAGATTTGGAATGGTTGCAGGCATGGAAAGAGGCTTATTCCGGCTGCCTTCTTCTGATGTTCTTCTAAACATCCCCTTTGGGGTGTTCCTACAAACTGGACCTTTGATTTGACTCAGACCAACCACATTGCTTTGTGGAAGAAGGATATACCACAAATAACAGTACAGAACTCTACAAAATTGCAGAACATCCGCTAGGTGCAGCCAGAGAAGTTCATTAATGCACCTAATCCAAGTTCTTCC